TCTCAAAAAGATATCTGTACTCCCATGTTCACTGCAGCATTATTTACAATATCTAAGATATGGAAATAACTATGTGTTCATCCATGGATAAACGGATAAAGCAAATACGGTATCCAAGGCATTACTATTCAATCATAATAAAAGAATGAGACTGCCATTTGTGACAACCTGGATGGACCTTGAAGGCATTATGTTAAGTGAAGTAAGTCAGAAAGAGAAAGACAAATACTGTATAATCTCAGTTATATGTGAAATCAAGCCCTCTACTTCCCTTCCTAAAACCCATGAACTCATAGATGCAAAGAACAGACTAGTGGTTGCCAGAAGCAGAGGGTGCAGGGGGCAGAGGTTGAAATGGCTGAAGGGGGTCAAAAGGTATAAACTTCCAGTTATAAAATAAATAAGTCATGGAGATGTACAGCATGGTGACTAAAGTTAATAATACTATTTTTTGTGTGTATATACACATACACACACAATGACCATGTCACACGGCTTGTGGGATATTAGTTCCCCACCCAGGCATTGAATCTGGGACCTCAGCAGTGAAAATGCTGAGTCCTAACCACTGGACCATCAAGGAATTCCTGTATACTTTAAAGCTATTAAGAAAGTGGATCTTAAAAGTTCTCATCATAAGAAAAAAAACTATATAACCATGTGTGGTGATGGATATTAACTGGACTAATTGTGGAGATCTTTTGCAATACATATAAATACTGAACCATTATGTTGTACAACTGAAAATAATATAAAGTTATGTCATATCTCAATTTAAAAATTTTAAGGAATTAAAAAGATTTAAGTACAAAAGGGCTTTATATTTCTGTTTGAATTTGCATAAAACATTCCTAGACATACAAGAAACATAGTGGTTACTTCTATGAAGTGAGCCTGTGTGTGTGCTAAGTCATTCAGTCGTGTTTGACTCTTTGCAACCCCATGGACTAGCCCGCCAGGCTCCTCTGTCCATGGGATTCTCCAGGCAAGAATACTGGAGTGGGTTTCCATGACCTTCTCCATGGGCTCTTCCCAACCCAGGGAGTGAACCCATGTTTCTTTCATCTCTTGCACTGGCAGGCAAGTTCTTTTCTACTAGCGCCACCTGGGAAGCACTGAAGGAATGTGAGAGGGTGATATATAGAGCCATGATTAATTTAAGCTGTTTTTCCTATTTCCATATTAACAGCTGTGTGGTATTTCACAGCTCCAAGTTCTTCCACATGAATGACTGTGTCAGACAGTTCACTGCTCATTCACACCCTTTTAGTCCCCATCCTGATCTTGATCCAGTGGCAACAGCTCAGCCCAGGGCATGAAGCAAGACTGGTCCAAGTTGGTGACTCTCAACTTTGGCTGCACTGTACAATCCCCTGGGGAGCTTTTAAAACATCCTAATAACTGGATCCCACCCCAAACCAATTATATCAGAATCTCTGTGGATGGAGCTCTTTTAATAGTGACATTAAAAAAAATACTCAAAAAACTCCTCAGGTGAAGGCAATGCTCAGCCAGGGCTGAGAACCCACTGGTCTAAGCCAGTCAAGAGGACGACTTTCCCTTCCACCAATTACTGGGTTAGGTCAGACCACATGACCCAGTTCTAGCCAGTGAGACATAGAAGGAAGTCAGCTGGGGTAGGGGCTTCTGGAGAAGGTTTTATAACCAGATTGAAGACAAGAGAGACACATGAGGGAAAACTGCACCCCCTTACTAACCAGCTTCTTTCTTTTCTGCATTTTCACAACCCTGCATAGTTGGGTGAGGAAGTGATGCTTCTTGCTGAGGCTACCATCTTGTGACAGTGGGAAGATAACTTGATGAAGGAAAGCCAAGAAGATGGAAAAGATGGAATGGGCCTGGCTCCTTGGTGACTTGGTTTGTTGCTACAATTCCCGCCCAGACCTGGAAAAAAGTGCACTGGCCCCCCACCCTGCCAAATCCTGGCTGTCAGGTCTGGAGTATCCAGAAGTCACTCAGGTTAATTCACTGCTGAGCCGGGGGCATGCTGCAGTGTCCCAGGTGAAGGACAGCCATGGGGAAGATGGCCCTAGCTAGAGTCACAGGCTCCTGTGTAGCTGCTGTTGGCACTGCTCAGGGATATTTTATTGGTTTTTTCAGTATTAGTAATAAAGCTAAATGTGGTTCTCACCCTAGACTAGCCACTAAACCTGGCTGTGGTGGTGCCAAAGGTGTGCCAGGAGATAGTAAGGGGTGGGGGGGAGCGGCGCAGATGAGGGTGTGTTATAATGGAGAGATTCTGAGCTCTGGAGTCTAACACCACTGCTGCCTGACCTTCAGCAGCCCAGGTGTGACTTTGGGCAAGTTATTTGATTTATCGGAGTCTTTGATTTCTCATCTATAAAACTGATAATATGCCATGATGAAAGAAATGCTCACATATGGAGGTATGGGGAAGTCCTTCTGGTTTACACATGATTTAACTAAAATGTGATGCTAACTAAAACAGCCTGTTTGTGGCCTATCAAACATACACTGTTCATCTACTTTATTAATGAAAAGGGCATAGAAGTAAAATATTGTCCATGTTAAAAATTAAATGTCTCCCTTCCTGGGACACCAATGCTGGTGCTCCTTCCATGATAAGACTCACTTCCCAGGGGCTGAGGCCATACTGACTGTGTAGGTGCTGATTTTTTTAAACCTGGACAGAATGGATTCCTGACTTGCTTAGTGTTCTTTGTTCTGACAAAATATAAAACCGGGCTGAAAACCATGTTTCTCTGGAGAAGTTCCTCAGAGTCATCCGCCTTCCTGTCTTCTGGGCTATAGTCTTCAGTTTGGCTCAAATAAAACGTTTTCTATTCCTATTATAGATTGTCTATTATTTTCGTTGGCAGTCATAACAATGATATAGCCACTATGCCTAACTCAATGCATTGGTACCTAAGGATCCATCCCCTTCCCATCCATAGAGTGCAATGTGACAGACTTTTGGAAACTCATCAGTTGGCCAATAACATTATCCTTCTAGGAACCAGGAATACAAGCATTTTAATAAATCCACTGATTGGTGGTGACATAGTGCATGCCTGATAATTCCAGCAGAAAGGCCAGAAGAAGGGTTCAATCACCAGAGAATGAAAGATCTTAAAGCTTGTTCCCAGATGTCTCTGCAAGCCTGCAAAGGAAGCCCCAATTGGATCTTCCAAACTCCAGCACCAATGTCTGGCCCCATAGTCACTGCCACACACACAGACTCTAACCTGCTAGAGGATGAAGACTTGTGGCCTCGAATCCTCCTCTCAGTTCACTTTCTTACCTCACCCCAGTTAGTGCCACATGTTAGTAAAAATGAAAAAAAAAAAAAACAGTAAAAGTTTCTGGGAGACTGTCAGCTCTTAAAGCCATAAAACACTGCAGCAATTTGTCCTCAAGAGACGGCCCCTCAGACCTGTGAATGAGGGTTGGGAACCATTATATTACTTACATCTGTAAACACAGGATTAGCAGATGAAAGGATGTTTTTGTTAAAAAGTGACAAGTTCCAAGTCACCTGATGCCTATTACCTTCACTCTGCTTAGGAAAGAACCCAGACTTCCTAAGCAATTACAGAAACTAAGAAAACCACTTGATCACTGGGAGAAAAGTCAGCTTCCAAAATCACTCTGCAACTCTGGCTCTATTAACAGCAACAAAATTCATCTTCATTAACATCTTCAACTTTGTCCTCAGAGCTTCATCCCAGAGGAATACTGAATTACACTGTAAACTAATGAATGGAAACTTAAGTCACTTCCGCCCGGCCCGCGCTGCTTTTCCTCCTCTGGACTGCACCCTTCCAACTCATACAAAGTTTGGGGAATCACATTCCTATTCCACTCACTAGACTCCTGAGGTCAGCATCATGCACAACAAACTTCCCTCGGCCCAACGAACAGGCCATAGGCTGACTCAGACACTGAACACATTTTGAGATCATTTAAGCCCCATTTTGGCATCTTAGGATAGCTTTGGATATATGCTTTACACAGAAAGAACCAAAAAAAAAAAAATGGGGAGGGGATATCTTTTCACAAAGATCCTTCTGCAGTCACAGCCAAAGATGTTAATGTCCATCCGAGGTTCCATCTCTCAAGGGGATGGGGCAGAGTTGGGGAAGCCCAGCCCAGAGATTCTGTCTGCATTAGAGGAAGCAGACCAGGCAGCTTTTGTGAGCTGATGTGAACGGGATATGGTCAAATATCCTGTGGACTCCAGCAATTGGGGGCGGGGGTGGGGGGAGTCACCAGGGGAAATCAAAGTCCATTCCCGGCCAATATACCAGAGCCTGACACACACACACACACACATGCAAAACTGTTGCAAGAGAGGCCTGACTATGCCTATCTGCTTGGTAAATCCGAAGGAAAGACTCGGAGTCTGCAAGTCAGAGAGGCAGAGGCAGAGAAGAAATATGAGATGGATTAGGGGCAGGTAGGATAACAGTGAACAACTTTCCCTCAAATCCTGCTTTTTGGTTTTCTCTGTGCCTGCAAACACTGCTTCAAAAGGTTTCCCCATAGGACAGAGTGGCCTCAAGATGAAATGATAATGGTCCTAGAAATGGTCCACGAAATCCTATACTTTTCATGTCAATTTCCAATCTCGAGCTTCACTGTGACTTTCAAACATTCTCTATTCCTCTCAGACCCCTCCTCCCTCTCCTTTCCCCACTCCCTCATTCTCAACAGACCATACTACCTCTTACTTCAGAGAGGAAACAGAGTGCAGAGGCTTGGGTCCCACCTCAGCTATTAACCTCTACCTTCTCAGGGTCTTCCTCTGAGAAGGCAGGTGTCTATTCTAGAGATCGAGATGATGCTACGCTCCCAGCTGGGCTTACCCCACTGCTCGGATCTATTTTCACCCGCTGAGATCCATCTGAGACGGCATCCCTCCCCTCCCCCTGCAGGCTGATCCTAGCTCCCTGAAGAACCTTTCCTGCCCCTTCTCTGCCCGGGGGCCACCTTACCCGGATCCGTCCCGCGGTGGCCGGCTACGTGGCGTCGTCCTCCTCGGGCTCTGGCTGTGTCTCCTCGTCCTCAGGCGGCTTGACATCGACGTCTTCTCCGCTACGAGGGTAAGCCAGCAGGCGCATGGCTGGGGCGCAGGCGGCCTCCACCTGGTGCACCTGCTCTCGGCTCAGGCGCTCGCGCCAGGCATGCACGGCCTCGCGGGCATCGCGCGCCGACAGGTGGAAGGGCCGGTCGGCGCCATAGGCAGCGCCGCGCGTCATGTTGAGCGCGAAGGCGTCGAGGGCTGCAAGCGCGCGGAGCCCGGCAAAGCGTTGCAAGCGGCGCAGCTGGGCGCGCGGCTGCTGCACCAGGTCCTCGTAGCGCAGCCTCAGGTAGCGGCGCCGCAGCCAGGTGGGAGCGCCGCGCGCGAACAGCAAATCGCGCATCCAGGCTTCGCAGATCACCTCAAGCGCACCGGTCAGGAAGAAGTCGGCACGCGGCGCGGCTGGCAGCGCGCGGGACCCTCCCCCGGGGCGAGCTCCTACGCCGTGCGCCAGCAGCACACGGTGGAAGCGGTCGCCCCTTTGGCGGGTGCGCAGCACCTGGATGCTCTCGCGCAGCAGCCCCTGCCGGGACTTGAGACGCGAGTTGTGGACAGCTCGCGGGTCGCGGAAAAGCTGCACCACCTTCAGGTTGAGGCCTGGGTCGCGCAGAAGGGGCACCAGCACGCCCAGGTCGAGGAGGCGCACGTCCTTGATGACCACCACCGGATACTTGCGGCACTCGGCCTCCAGGGCTCGGAGAGCCACGGGTGGGCAGCTGCGCTCGCAGGCGGCGTCCTCTACGAGGCCGACCTCGGCGCGGGCCCGGGGTGCGCCAGGGCACAGTGGCGGCGAGCAGATGACCTTGTTGGTCCGCCAGCGAAAGAGGGAGGCCGTGGTGAGATTGGCCGCGTCCGGGGGGCGCGCAGCGGGGTCACCGGGCGGCGCGTACAGCTGCAGGACTGAGAAGTCGCAGCGGAAGAGTGAGCGCAGCATGTCTCGGAGTGCGCCCTGCAGACTCTCGGCGTCGCCCGGATACAGCGCCTGCCACAGATGCCACATGGGCTCGTACAAGTAGAAAACGTCCGGGTGCTGGTTAAAGAGCTCGCCCAGGAATGATGAGCCGGTGCGCCAGGTGGCATGCACATAGATGTGCTGCTTTTCGCGAGACGCGGCCTCCCCGACGGCGCTGTTGAGGTTGCCTGGGGACCTAGGGGACCTGCCAGCGCCCCCCTCCGCAGCTGGCCACGCCTCCGCGCCCTCTTCGCGCTCGCCCGCTGCCGCCGCCTCCAGGCTCCACACTCCCAGGCTGCGCTGCAGGCCCGGGCAGTGCCGGGCTCCCTTGTCCCCGTCGCGGCCGCTGTCCAGGACCGAGAGGATGAGCAGAAGCACTAGCGTGTATAGCACCAACAGCAGCGCGAACTTGCAGTACTCCCGGCGCCGCCGCCGCCGGCCCTTCATCGTTCACTTAACCACTCCAGAGCGGGTGAAGCGCCCTTCCTCTCCTCTTTCTCGGAAATTCCGTCCGGAGTCCGCTCCTCCGGCCTCTTGAGACCCCTCTGCACGGGGAGGAGTGGAGTCACCGAGGCTGTGCATCCACAAGGGAAACTCGGGAAGCGGTGGTGCTGCGTCCCTGCCCTTTCCTGGCTCAGCCCTGGAGAGCCGCCTATTGGCCGGCTTGAAGCGGCCGGCCCCGCCTTCCACCCGGCAGCTTCTCCCCGCCTCTCTCCCCGCTTGGGCTAACTCTGTCAAATCTGGGCGGGGTTGCCCCGGGGTGGGGGACTCCAGCTGGGGCGCTTGGAGCCAGGCCCCACCTTTCCCCACCCCCTCCTTAATGAAGTCAAGTCTTCATGAATTGACTGCAGGCAAGGAAGGGGCCCGTGTGTACAGAATGTACCCAGTGACAGGACGTGGACCCCACCCGGAGAACTCCACTGCCTCTCCAGTTTTATGTCCCCTGCTTGGCCATCCCTGTCGTAAGCAGACACTCCTCCACACTATTTAGAATGGGGTCCCTGGTCACTATCTACATCTGGCGCCCCCGTCAGCCAAGGGGTGGGTGTTACTGAGTGCTGGATGGAAGTACTTCTCTAGGATAAAGACGGAGGTTGCATAGTGCATCATGGCCCAGAGGAATGGGAGGCCCTACTTGCACTCACGCAGAGTGTTTACTTGTTTAGGTATACCCTGTGTGGAAATGTAAGTGTTATGTTCCTAGGATTTTGCCCAGTGAGGGCCATGTACATTTTACAGACACCCTGAAGATCAGTTTCAGTTCAGTTCTGTCACTCAGTCGTGTCAGTCGTGTTGGACCCCATGGACTGCAGCATGACAGGCTTGCCTGTCCCTCACCAACTCTTGAAGTTTGCTCTAACTCATGTCCACCGAGTTAGTGATGCCGTCCCACCATCTCACCCTCTGTCATCCCTTTCTCCTTCTGCCTTCAATCTTTCCCAGCATTAGGGTCTTTTCCAATGAGTCAGTTCTTCACATCAGGTGGCCAGAGTATTGGAGTTTCAGTTCCAGCATCAGTCCTTCCAATGAATATTCAGAACTGATTTTCTCTAGGATGGACTGGTTGGACCTCTTTGCAGTCCAAGGGACTCTTAAGAGTCTTTTCCAACACAACAGTACAAAAGCATCAATTCTTCAGCACTCAGCTTTCTTTATAGTCCAACTCTCACATCCATACATGACTACTGGGAAAACACATAGCTTTGACTAGATGGACCTTTGTCAGCAAAGTAATGTCTCTGCTTTTTAATATGCCGTCTAGGTTGGTCATAGCTTTTCTTCAAAGGAGCAGGCATCTTTTAATTTCATGGCTTCAGTCGCCATCTTCAGTGATTTTGGAGCCCCCCAAAATAAAGTTTCTCACTGTTTCCATTGTTACCCCATCTATTTGCCATGAAGTGATGGGACTGGATGCCATGATCTTTGTTTTCTACATTTTGAGTTTTAAGCCAACTTTTTCATTCTCCTCTTTTACTTTCATTAAGAGGGTCTTTAGTTCTTTGCTTTCTGCCATAAGGGTGGTGTCATCTGCATATCTGAGGTTATTGATATTTCTCCCAGCAATCTTGATTCCAGCTTCATCCAGCCTGGCATTTAGCATGATATATTCTGCATATAAGTTAAACCAGCAGGGTGACAATATAGAACCTTGACGTACTCCTTTTCCTATTTGGAACCAGTCTGTTGATTCATGTCCAGTTCTAACTGTTGCTTCTTGACCTGCATATAGATTTTTCAGGAGACAGGTAAGGTAGTCTGGTATTCCCATCTCTTTTGGAATTTTCCAGAGCATGTTTTGATCCACACAGTCAAAGGCTTTGGTGTAGTCAATAAAGAAGATGTAGATGTTTTTCTGCAACTCTCTTGCTGTTTCGATAATCCAACAGATGTTGGCAATTTGATCTCCGGTTCCTCTGCCTTTTCTAAATCCAGCTTGACCATCTGGAAATTCACAGGTCATGTACTGTTGAAGCCTAGCTTGGAGAATTTTGAGCATTCCTTTGCTAGCATGTGAGATGAGTGCAATTGTGTGGCCGGTTGAACATTCTTTGGCATTGCCTTTCTTTGGGATTGGAATGAAAACTGACCTTTTCCAGTCCTATGGCCACTGCTGAGTTTTCCAAATTTGCTGGCATATTGAGTATAGCACTTAAATGGCATCATATTTTAGCATTTGAAATAGCTCAACTGAATTCCATCACCTCCACTAGCTTTGTTCATAGTGATGCTTCCTAAGGCCCACTTGACTTCACATTCCAGGATGTCTGGCTCTAGGTGAGTGACCACAACATCGTAGTTATCTGGGTCATGAAGATCTTTTTTGTATAGTTCTTCTGTGTATTCTTTTTTTTTCCATTTACTTTTATTATTTGGAGGCTAATTACAATATTGTAGTGGTTTTCTTCTGTGTATTCTTGCCACTTCTTCTTAATATTCTTCTGTTTCTGTTAGGTCCATACCATTTCATACCATTAGATGGGGAAACAATGGAAAAAATGAGAGACTATTTTTTTTTTTTGGCTCCAAAATCACTGCAGATGGTGACTGCAGTCATGAAAGTAAAAGATGCTTGCTCCTTGGAAGAAAAGTTATGACCAACCTACACAGCATACTAAAAAGCAGAGACATTACTTTGCTGACAAAGGTCCATCTAGTCAAAGCTATGGTTTTCCCAGTAGTCATGTATGGATGTGAGAGTTGGACTATAAAGCAAACTGAGCACTGAAGATTTGATGCTTTTGAACTGTGGTGTTGGCTAAGACTCTTGAGAGTCCCTTGGACTGCAAGGAGACCCAACCAGTCCATCCTAAAGGAAATCAGTTCTGAATATTCATTGGAAGGACTGATGTTGGAGCTGAAACTCCAGTACTCTGGCCCCCTGATGCAAAGAACTGACTCATTGGAAAAGACCCTAATGCTGGGCAAGATTGAAGGCAGGAGGAGAAAGGGATGACAGAGGATGGGATGGTTGGATGGCATCACTAACTCGATGGACATGTGTTAGAGCAAGCTCTGAGAATTGGTGATGGACAAGGACGCCTGTTGTGCTGCAGTCCATGGGGCTGCAAAGAGTCAAACACGACTGAGCGACTGAACTGACTGACCAAAGATACTTGAAGAAAATGTGGTAAAAAGCTAGGTAATGTTGAAGATTACTACAGATTATTTAGCCAGCATGTGTAATTTTTCTTTATTCTACTATTCTTTAAAATTTGGAATATTCATTTTACAAAATTTCCAATTTTTTTCTTAATATATATATTTCATTAAAGTATAGTTGATTGACAACGTTTCAGGAGCACAACAAAGTGATTCAGTTATAGAAATGCACATATATTATTTTTGAAATTATTTTCCATTATAAGTTATTACAACATATTGACTATAGTTCCCTGTGCTATACCTGTGTCTCCTGCATTGAACCTATGTCTCTAGCATCACAGGTAGATTCTTTACAACCTGAGCCACGAGGAAAGCCCTAAATATCCTACTCTATCACTATCATTCATACTTGCATTTCCATCAGAAAATGTCTGTATGTCACAATGTTATTTAAGGCTAAAAATTCACTTTTTTTTACAGTGTGAGTCTCACAGAGCTATTGTTGTGGGTCCTAAGGGAAATGTTTGGGTGATCTTGTATTTTATCCCCATCCCATCTTCAGAGGGGATATGAGTCTAAATGAATTCTCAGCTCCAAGTTTTAAAAATCTGAAACTTTTCATCAGAGGGCAGACAGAAGAAGCAAAAAGAACCAAAGTCCCACAGCAGCTAAAAAAAAAACTACAGAAAGTTCATTAAGATGAAAAAGCAGAAAGTTATGTCCCAGATGAAGGGACAAGATAAAACCCTAGAAAAACAACTAAATGAAGTGGAGATAGGCAACCTTCCAGAAAAAGAATTCAGAATGATGATAGTGAAAATGATCCAAGATCTTGGGAAAACAATGGAGAAGATGCAAGAAATGTTTACCAAAGACCTATAAGAACTAAAGAGCAAACAGATAGATGAATAATGCACTAGAAGGAATCAATAGCCGAATAACTGAGGCAGAAGAACGGACAAGTGACCTAGAAGACAATGGTTGAAATCACTGCCACAGAATAGGATATAGAAAAAAGAATGAAAAGAAACAAAGACAACCTCAGAGACCTCTGGGACAACATCAAATACACCAATATTCACATTATAGGGGTCTAAGAAGTAGAAGAGAGAGAAAAAGCACCTGAGAAAATACTTGAAGAGATAATAGCTGAAAACTTCCCTAACATGGGAAAGGAAACATTCAACCAAATCCAGGAAGCGCAGAGTGTCTCAGATAGGATAAACCCGAGGAGGAACACATCGAGACACATAGTAATCAGACTCTCAAAAATTAAAGACAGATAAAATATTAAAAGCAACAAGGAAAAAATGACAACATACAAGGGAACTTTCATCAGGCTATCAGCAGATTTCTCAACAGAAACCCTACAAGGCAGAAAGGGATGGCACGATATATTTAAAGTGATGAAAGGGAAGAACCTACACCCAAGAATACTCTACCCAGCAAGACTCTTGTTCAGATTTGATGGAGAAATCAAAAGCTTTCCAGACAAGCAAAATTTAAGAGAATTCAGCACCACCAAATCAGCTTTACAACAAATGCTAAAGGAACTTCTCTAGGCAGGACACAAGAGAAAGAAATGACCTACAGAAAATAAACTCCAAACAATTAAGAATCAGTATTAGGATCATACATATCAATAATTACCTTAAATGGAAATGGATTAAATGCACCAACCAAAAGACATAGACTGGCTGAGTGGATGAAAACATGTGCATGTATGCAATTCCACCTACCACATCACTCTGCTTGACCCCCCAAATATTGTTAGGTTTATCTTGTTCCCAATATGGCTTGCTATTGTAATTTCTTTTTTGTCTGGCTATTGATTGTGAAAACTA